CCTACAGGTGGTGAGAGGTGAGGTGAGGCACTGGAAGCCGAGTGTCTGTCCTTCTAATAAGAAGGACATTCCCGTCTCCGACAGAGAGTGTGCCTCATACTTTGACATTGATTCAATGTCTTCATTTGGGACATTTTCTCATAGTGAAATCTCTTGGGGACAGAAGCACCTGTAGCTTCTAGGCGTTGGCATCAGGCATGCTCATTGCTCTTTGAGCGCTGATGCTGACGGCAGCTGCTCAGGGTGCACTACACGACTCTCCCCGGGAGCCTGCAACAGACCGTGAACATCATTGAGTATGTGAATTTGGAGAGGCTAGGAAAGCCAGGGACAAGTGATCAGTCATACCAACAACATACAGTTGGAGGAGGCACCAGACAACCAGAGATGGGAGGCAATATGACCCGCCACACAATTCCCAACAAAAGCAAGATTCCAGGGGTGACAAACACTCTAGGCACACTACAAAGTGACCTGGAGAGAGACCTGGGGCACATGAGCCTTAGTGTGACAGTGGGGAGAGTAACAGATTAGCCCCAAACTAGAAATACAGCCTAGTCATGTGCCACCAAGCAGAGCTAACCAAGGACCAAAACTTCTCATGCCTGATCCTCGAAAGTACTGAGACTATTGCATCCAGCCGTGTAAAGAAGGAAAAGGCTCAACAGAATGTATTCCTCCACTGACTGTAAAACTAGGGGAGAGTAAGTTGTTGAGTATATGACGATTAAAAGGACACCACCAACTAAACTAAACTAAACTAAACTAAACTAGGAGTGTGGGTTATAACCCAAAACATACTAGTGTTGCCTAATACTTCACAATGGGTTCATATATTAGAAACAATTTCTGTATTTAGTTTTATTTTCTCCCAGCACAGTGAAACTCCACTATGTTATCACTTCACTCAGGATGCTACAAGGTCTCATAATTTCCCCAGATCCATCTTTTGTCAGGTCTTAAAGAGAAGGCCTGCCATCTCAGTGCTCCATTATCTAAGGAAGAAGTCCGTAATTTCCTGTTCAGATTCTCCTCGCACAGGACTAAGGCTAAATACAGATGTGTCTGCATGTTGATGGCATTGTTTCAAGGGCCAAGGATACTATAGTATCACTGATGTTTCCCAGAGGGGCTTGAGGTGCAGGATGGTGAAGGCCTCTTTTTGTTGATGCTGCAGAATTTGAGTGAATTCTCACAGAGCAGCTTGCATGGGGCTGAGTATCAGTGACTCTCGCCCTATGTTTAGAGCCATGGCTGCTTTCCCCTGGTTCTACAAAAAGAAAACACAAGGATTTCTGTGCTTGGAGGCAATAGGAATTTCCTGTCTTTGCTGTTACTTAGCAGCCCGAGGACATTGATAACTGTAAGACATCAGTCTGAATTGAGCCATTTAGGTGAAATGGGCTATTTGCTTCTCTCTAGTCACTCTGTTTTTGTCATATAACAAGAAATACTGTCATGGTATTATGGACCCAAATTGAAACTACAGTGTTTGAACTTGAGAATGCCTGTTTCGTTAGGTCATTATTTCCCTCCTGAAGTTTACTGATCCCGCTTCATGGAGATGTCCTTCTTTGTCTGTTAGGAGTTGCTCCTGAAACTACAACAAGAAAGGGCCGATTTTGTTCTCTTTAGTATGTCTCTTGACATGTGGATGTCCTCACTACAAGTTCTGACAGAAATGCTGGACTGGTGTTGGAGAGGCTAGTAACCAAGCATCAATACAAATGTAGCTTTTATTCATAGACACACACCGGCCTTATGACTGACTGACTTCGTTTTAAGCTGGGAACCTCGGCATGATTGGCATCTTGATTGACACCATTCTTTGTCTTGAAGGTCCATCTGGGTAGTACAGGGTATTTGGTAGCAGTCGAGATGACAGCCTTTGAGATATCAGTAGCTCTGACCTCTAGGGACACCAAAAAGGGCCCCTGGACATTTCTATGGATGGGAAGTTACCTTTTGTTAAGGACCACACTCTGGAATCTCAACTTCCTTAGCTGTAAAGCAAATGCTAATGAGAGTTGAGAGCTGCTGTTTACAGTGTATGTGTGTGTGTGTGTGTGTGTGTGTGTGTGTGTGTGTGTGTGTGCGCGCGCGCGCGCGCGCGCGCAGGCGCATGTGGGTGCACACTTGTGGTGCTTCCAGAAACTAGAAGAGGGCATCGGATCACCGGACTGGATTCACAGGTAATTGTGAGTGCCAGGAACTGAGTTCTGGTCCTCTGGCAGAGCGGTAATTGCTCTCAGCTGATGAAGGGGTAGTCTGCTCTCTGACTATAAGACATTGCTACTTCAGAGATCCATTTGTGGGTGACAGCTTTGGTATGGCTCAGCTGGCAGAACAGACGAGGATGCTAAGAGAAACTCGTTCCATTTGCAACTGTAAAATTGGGGGCCGGGCATTTACTGATGCATCTGTGTTTATAAACCCTCTATTGGAATGCAAGCTGAAGATTTGAGTCACATTGCCACTGAAGTTTATTTTAAAGTTGAAGATCTTACAAACATAAGAAAATTAGAGTGTGGTTAATCCTTGTAGGATAAAAGATATATATTTTCTAGGAGCCTGTTCCTGCCCAGATCTTGGAATAATATCAATGGATCTCAGCTGTTCAGTGATACTCTCATATGCTGCACCCATGGTCCAGAAGCTGAGGGTTCAGCCTGAAGCTGCTGTCCTGGACAATGTTTCAGCCCAAAGGGAAGCGTGGGATGGTGAGCATGGCTTCACAGAAAACAGCTCAAGGAAGGAGGGTTCACGTTCCACCTGAGATCAAAGCCTATTGTTTGGTGTAGCTAAAGGGATGGCATAAATGGGAGGCCAATTCCATTCACAGCAGGAGTGCGCTCTCCTGGGAAGGCAGAAACCCTTCTGTTGGCTTGTCGTCTGTGAAACTGAGAGAACCTCAGTCTTGTTCATTATCCCTTAAACCAACATTCAAAACTTTAGACCCCTTTAAGGACACTTACAAGCTCGAAAGTTTGCCTGGAGGACTCTTTTCATTTGTATCTCAAATCGTATGAACAAAAACATCCGCAAACTTTGACAAAGCAAAATTCAGATCCTTGGCACTCAATTTTGTTCTTTTATTATCTCTTCCATGGGAAAAGAGGAAGGTTACTGAGTGCAGCTGTTAGATACAATTCTGGCTTTGTGCAAGCCGCTTTTGCGTAATGACAGGCAGAGAGAGAGGAGTACAAAAGATTCAGAAGCACAAACAGAACAAATTAAAAGGTGAGCAGAGCTTAAAGCGAGTCTCTTGTGGCCGCTGGTGATGACTCACGTTGTCTAAAAACAGACTGCAGTGCTGGATGTTGAGGGCGCCGAGGGGAAGGAGACAAAGTGAAAAAGGGACCTGAGTTTGGGGCTTAATTCCCATAAGTGGGACATTAACAAATAAACCTGCAGATGACAAAATACACAGAAAGTTAAAAAGCAGTTTTCACTCCCTTTGAACCCGTATTAGTTTTCTTAAGAGACATGGACATTCGTGACGGAGCACCTACGACAAGCTTAGAGTCATCCAGCACATTGTAAAACAATATTAACTTGATTGGCAGCAGAGGAAAAAAGAATATTATTTTAGTATACTAGAGTATCTGGCCCTTTAAATTTTAGTACGTAAAGACAATATTGATGGAATAGCAAACATTTTCTTCCTGGTCTTAAACCTGTAATAAAATGTTGCTGACGGACTAATTAAGAATGCTATATATGTTCAGTGCCTATGTGCTCCTCGCTAAAGCAATTTAATTCCCATTAATGCTAATCTCGTTAATACCCACTCAGAGAGCAAGGCGCACTCTCAATAAACTGCTGATTCATTTGAGCCATTTAGACAGGGGACAGGCAAGAAGGGGTGGGATTCCACCCACAACTGTGCTTCTCTGAATGCTTTCCAGTCGTTAATGAACTTTAGGTTATAACTCCTATGGGAAGGAAATGAGGAGGCGGGCAGAGTGACTGGGTGATAGGTCTCTCAATCTGAAAACCGGGGGAGCCGGAAAGGCTTCCTAACTGGGGTCAGGGATGAGATACTACACAGAAAGGAAGATTTTGCTTTCAAGAACAAGGAAAGTAGCACTCTGTTACACACGTGGTTGTTTCTGCCCATCTTCCCTCAATAGAAGAATTCAGGAATTTCTCTGCAACTCAGATGACCACCCATGGGTCAGATTTCCTAGGCTCAGTGCTCTTTGATCAGCCAAGAGGCAAGACAGGCTCCCCAGAGAGCTTGTGTCCCATCTCAGTGACTTCGTGAATACAGCTATGTAATGAGGCTGTGTGCCATAGGCCAGCCTGGAACTCAGATTGCAGTAACAAGGCCCCTCTGCCCTGTGGGGTCACTCCAGAGCTTATAAAGCAACAGGTGTCTTAAGCAACCCCCTCTCCCTGTCATAAAATAAAGTCAAAGTGGCAGACAGGATTTTGCTCAGGATCCAGCACCAGGCTTTAGGACGAGTCATTCAACCTCCCTGAGACTCAGTTTCCCTTACCTCTAAAATAGAAAATGATGATCTCCGAAAATGCTCTACAAGCTTCCAGCAGTAGTGTGAGGGTCAAAACTACAATGGAAAACTGCCCTGTGCCCACGTAGAGTATCATTAACTGCGAAGTGACTTAGCAGAAAAAGTGGTACAGGAGAAAGATAGAAAAAGGGAAGGCCAGGTCTCAACTCTATCAGGTTTCTGTACTTCACAGAAGGGAGGTTTACTCTGAGAATTTTCTTAAACAGTTTAGCGGTGACTGGTGCTTATCCTTGCAAAAAAGTGCTCAGAACATAAACAAACTGAAGATGGGAGGGGCTTGGATAAATGAAATCTCTTTTCCTGCTGCGCACAGATTTGATGCTGGTTATTCATGGGAACAGGAGAAAAAAAAGTAAACTACTGCAACACATACTTAATACACAAATATTAAAATGTCTTTTCTCTACCGACTGGTAAAAAAATATATTATATTTTGATATTTTTTTTCTTTTTAAATTATATCTGCTATCCATCCCAGCCGAAGTCGCGGCCGGTCATCTGGTAGAACTTGCGGTTGAAGGGCCTGTAAAAGTCACGCAGCTGCCGCAGCACCTCGCGCGCAATGGCGGGGTGCGCGCGACCCTTAGTCTTGCCCAGGCAGTGCGGCTTGCCGCTGCCCTCCGCCTTCTTGAGGCACGGGAAGCCCTTCGTCTGGTTGAAGTAGAAGTGCTTGTCGGTGATGATGCGCTTGAGGCCCAGGAAATCCTGCACGCGGCGCAGCTCCCCAGCCGGGTCGCTGACCAGCCGCTCCCCGCTCACGAAGAGCATCTGGCCCAGCGGGAAGTGGCGCAGCCAGGGCTCCAGGTGCTTGGCGTACAGGCCGATCTGGATGGCGCTCCAGGACGTGTCGATGAGGCCCGCGCTGCGGTTGCGGAACGTCAGGCTCTCGAAGCTGGGGATGTCCGGCCGCTTGGACAGCGTCTGCGTGTAGTCCGAGATGGCCCTGGTCACGGGGTCGCGCACCACCACGATGAGCTTGGTGTCCTTGGACATGGCCGAGATGCGCGCTGGTGCCTCCCGAGTCACGAAGTAGCTGGGGGTCTTCTCCATGGTGATCTGTCCCTCCAGGGTTCTGGGCATCAGGTCCCTGTGGGAAGCAGAAAGCATGTTAGAATCTGGGGAGAAAGTAAGCCAAGTCTCCTTCTGGACCCCAAGAACGGGAGAAGCATCCAATCTGAGTTCACATGTTCCTGGCTGGTTGTAGTTGCAGCTCCCGGACTTCCTGAATGCCAACTGGCCTTAACTGCTCTAGATTCCTTGAGCATGGGCCTCGGAACATGCATATCGCTCCTGTCAGACAATTCTTGTGGCAATATATGCACCTCAAGCGCTCAGAAATGTTCCCAACACAGAATAAAGACTCTGTTAGTTATCCATCTATGATACTCGGCAACAGCGCTTTCTGTAGGTGAATTACAACGTCATAATATCAAATGACATTAAAATACCTGATGCCATCCTGTCCATACCTGCCCCAAGTGTAGCTTTGTCCTTTATACACATGCCAATAATTTCTCTCAAAAAGGGTTTCCTCATTAACAAACGAATCCTTTTAAGGACTTATTTTATTTTTTAACTCTATGTGGTTTTGTACAATTATGTGTGGGTTTGTGCAAATGACGACTGGTACTTCTGGTGACTGGAAGTGGCCCTTGGCTCTCCTGGGGCCGGAGTTAAAGATGACTGTATGCCTCCTGAGGCTAAACTCTGGTCCTCTGAAAGTGCAGAAGGTGCTCTGAATCTCTTAGCCATCTTAGCCCCTCCTTTGAAGTCGAATATCAAAATGTACAACTGTCTCCCCTTTCAACGATTTACTCTACCCTACTTTTGGTTACTTGTCTCCAACAACAGCCCAAAATGATTGCACAGAAATTTCAGGCCTAAGCAATCTGTAATTTTTAAATCGCATGCCGTTCTAAGCAGCACAGTGGAATCTCCCACAGTCCCCTTCTGTCTATCCAGGACACGAATCATTGCTTTGTCCAGCATATCCATTTTGTATACACTACCTGTCTGTTAGTCACTTAATCAAAGTCCCTGTGCAACGGAGGCCCCAAAAGCAAAGGACAGTGACAAGAACACCCGTGTACCGCACACAGGAGCACACATAATGCTGAAGCTGCATGCAAAGGAACATGGCATGTGGAGAAAACAAAGGGGGGGGGCAGCGGTATTAGCCTGTATTTCAGACCCCCACTGGGGCTCTTTGTGGGGCTGGTAAGCCTCATGAGTCCTGAGAAAATGACTTTTATATAACACAAAATGCTTGTCTTAACAGCTCCTTGGGGTTCCTTCCATCTCATTTGTAATGGTTTGAAAAGTCCCGATTGTCCTGGTCTAAATATCTTTATTTCCTTTCTATTCCTTTGGCGTTTGATAGGAGTCCCTTCCATCCAGGGCTGATAATGCCTGTGTTGGGAACAGGAAGGAGAACATGGGCGCTGGGTGCCTTCCTCTTTCCTGTACGGACACTGACCTGCTCTGATACTCTACCTTGTCTTGGGTGGATTTGAGACAATTATAATGCTTCTAAAAATCATCTAGTGAGCATTCTGTCTCCATTCTTGGCCACAGTTTGTGTATTCTGTCTTTCTTCATTCCTTCTTGGTCAAACCCCTGCCCCATTTTCTAATTCACTGATTTGCATTTTAGCTTTTTTTTTTTCAATGTTTTCTTTGTTTTTTTAAGCTGTGCTTTGTTGGTCCCTTCCAACGGGTTTAACTATATGCTTTTTTTTTTTTTTAACTTCCAGTCTGTCTTCTTTATTTTTCAGTTGGGACTTGATCAACTTTCTTAAACATCATCGTTTTTGTCAGTACCCATCGGTTACACTGAAGAGTGCTGATTTTCCTTTTGAGGCATGTATCACCCATGCCTGTTTATTTTTTAATTCTCACGGTGGTTTTGCTTTCACAGTTCTGTAGTATCTATTTTGCGGTTGTACTAAAAAGGATCTGCTCTGTGTTGGGCGCTTCTCTTTGCTGCTGCATTGCTATCTTCCCCACCTACATTATCTGCTAAGTACATATAAAGTGGGAAATGTCAAACGTAAAAGATGAAAATATGTCAAGTAAGCCTCACACACGTCATACCTCCTTTAAGAACACATAACGATGGCCAATTTCATTTATGAGCTTCCCCCCCACCCCATCTACTCCCTAACCATGCCAACTGGATTGTCTTAAAGCCAACTAGCAGACATGCGCTCAATTACTTCGCAAGTATTCGTGCTCCCATGTGGGTTATTTCTGGCACACATTCCTTGGCCTTTGCAGTGTCTAGTGCTAACAATGCCTTGGCTCATACAATGGAGTGAGTCTACCTCCTCTATTTTTTACTTTGGCAATTTTAATCACATGATTTTCCTCTTCTTTGAGGGAGAATGCTAGTCGGATGCTTGATTTATGTTGCTCAGTTCTTATTTTTAATATTAAAAGAATTTTGCAATTTATAAAAGGATATGCCACATTAACCATTTCTTAATCATACCTCGAGGGCTGGGTGTAGGTGAGCACAGAGTGCATGCCACATGGCTGAGATGCCTATCACCCTTCCTCACCTGTGTGTGCCAGATTCTCTGAGGAGCCAGACCAACCTGCCTCTGAAACTTACGATGCCCTTGTACAAGCCTGTCTCAAGATGGTGGGATTTCCCAGTGAAAGGAATTTGGTCAAATTTATGAAAAAGTGTTGGGCTCTAAGAAAACACCAAATACTCTGAAGAGGTGAAGGGTGTGCATTGTCTTAAAGACAGAGGCAGATCTCTGCCTCTGTCTGGACTCTTTGAGTTATAATGACTTGACTTCACATTTTGCCTTGGATCTTAAAGAGATAGCAGACTGCTCTCTGGAACTCCTGGCTGGCTTGTCTCTGGAAACCCCCAGGGAACCTTCCTCGGAGACTGAAGTTGCAGTCTGTGCTTGGCCAAAACAGACACTCCCAAACCTCAGAAAAAGGAGCCATATTTTAAAAAGCCTATCCCAAATCGGTGCTTGAAGAGAGATAGCCCAAACAGGACTTCCCAAGAAAGCTAGCCTCATCACCTCCTATAACTCATGGGATGGAGAAACTCAACTTGTTAGAGCAGGAGTAGAGATCTGCTGCATCATGGGTACCAATTCAAGAGCAAGAGTTCTGGAGATTGATGGCACTGCACATGTGTGGTCAGCGCTCCCGACCCATTAGGACACGGAGACGGTAAACTTTCCACTAAGCACAGTTTACAACGAGTCTTCAGTTTTAAGCACTCAAGAAGGAACAAAGGCTTTGAAAGCTGGATCTAACTAGATTGCATCTTTCAACTTAAAGATAACTAAGTGCAGGGGGTGAGTACGCAAAGGGGCTGTGGTTTTGTTTTCATCTTGCTAGACCAAAGGGAAATAAAATAATTTTTGACAGTTTGTCAAGCTGATCTGAAATCAGAAAATTGCGTTTGTGGCTTATCCCTTCTAAAGGCTGCCAGGGCTCAGGGGAGACAACTTAAGCTCAACTTATTCATTTCAACAGAAAAGCCCAGTCTAATGCCTCAGGAATCCGGCCTCTAAAGGACTGTCCATGTGACTGCTGCAGAGCTCATAGGAAGCATTCTTCTGAAGGGGGTGATGACCTGTGCCCTGATTCCCAAATGGCAGGAGAACCCCTCGGTCCAAATAATAGGGCTCCAGATACAATCACAAATACCTTGTTTGTCATGACCCCGGAGTATCTAGCATCAGCACAGACATTGAAGGTCATGAGCCGGTCACTGTCTTTGGAGAGACATAAGTTGGCTGGTTGTGCTGTGAGAGATGAGCACATTCTGTAAGTGGATTGGTTATCTCCCACAAGGGGCCATCACGCCAGAAAGAGCTTCGGACATCACGGCACCTTCACTTAGGAGCTGATCCATTACTGGGTGATCTCTATGGGACAATAGTTTATGGCAGAAGAGTTCTAACGACCTGGTGGGCGCTCCCTCTCCACAATGAGCAGGGGACGCACCTGTCTTTGTGGTGGGGCCTCACAGATAGTCTGAGGACTAGGATGCCCCTTGGATTAGGCAACTAATGCTTCACCATTGTCTGCATACAGATACCTCAGTTACCATGAGAACCATCTAGAAAGAGCTGTCAAGGCTGCTCGGCAACTACATTCAGTATGCATCTAATATACACAAGAAGATACAAAAAGGACCTATGTGCTCAGTCGTTCCTACCAATTTGGGCCCTTTCTACTGGGTTCCTACTACCCTCACACTGTCTTCTTGATCCCCACCTTCCCTATATAATTGCTGACAGCCATCTCTGGAAGTAGCTTCAAATGAATAAATGGATGGATGAATAAATGAACAGATGGATGGATAAACATTCCTCTCCTATTTGTTGTTAAAAAGTTGCATTTAATCAATCAACCTCTTGTTATACATAAAAGTCAATTCCATATTGCTTATAGACATAAGCAGGAGGGAAATTTCCAAGAGCAGCTTCGTGATTCAGATGGAGGGAAAATGTATAGACTATGTTGAAGAAGTAAATGGAAGAGGATGATAAGTTGGAGTAAATGAAAAATAAGGCTTTTTGTTTCATCAGATGATACTACCAAGTGGGTAGAGGCAAGCTCCAGAGTGAGAGAAAATGTTTACAAAATATCTCTCAAGAGCCGTATCTGTAATATAGAAAGGACTCCAAGTCAATAAGTTAAAGAAAAAATAAACCGGTTGAAAGAAAATGAGGTTTCCAAGTGCATGTGAGGATGAGCATTAACTGGCATCTTGCTGGTGGAGAGCAAGTTGACATGATGATTCCAGAGCTGGTTGGCACCATTTACCAGAGTGAGCATGTGTCTCCAGCAACTTCCCACCTCGTGATTTTGTACAGCCGTTCATCCATGTTCACATATTAATGATGGTCCCAAATTCAAGATCACCAAATGCTCACCAAAACCCAGAAACATCCAACACAGGGCAGTCAGAATGGGTACCTTCACATCTGCCAGTCACAGCTGCTTGTGGATGAATCTCATAAACAACACTAATAAACACGGCTGGTCCTGGCAATGCATCTGCTGTATGACTGTTGCAATGGTTTAAATGACACATCCCTCAGAGTCT